TTTTATTGGAAGGACACTGTCTGAACTTGGTCCAATGCTGACGCACGCGGTGTAGCTTTAGTACAAGGCAGCGACGTGCTGCATATTGCGGAGGCGTTGTCTATCCTTGATCAACGCTGACTCGCGCTGTCTGGGTTTGATGCAGTGCTGTGACGCGCTGCATATTGAGGGGGCGTTGTCTTTCTGGTCAACATCTAGCGGAGCTGAGAGTCTCCGTAGGTTCCAGGCCTTCAGTGGTTGCTTTAGGGACGCTGACCTTCTCGATAAATAGGATGCTCGTCACCCGAGAACTACACTCAACTTTGCAAGCTAAGAAGGCTGGATCATGTGACACGAATATCGGGTTTCCTTTTTACGGAGAACAGAGTTTTGTTTTCGCGCCTGATTAGGAGTGGCACAAACCTGGGTTGTGTAAAATATGACTACCGGCAGAAGAGATTTCACGGGAAGTCTGGGCGATTGTGGTTCTGTTTGCATCCTAGGTTGATGACCACGTGGTCATCGATGTGCTTGATCGAAGACGCTGAAAGATAGGGCAACCAGTAGAACGGAGTGGGAATCATGTTAGCATTTCCTTGAAGAATATTGCAGTTTTGGATTTATGTGAAAAAGAATAAAAACAACGGTAAAACTGGAAAGATGTATTTCTATCTAGCTACATGTTTTGTCTTTCTGGCCTCAACAGCCGTTTTGGACTTCTTCACTACAGTTCGTGAAATTGAATGCGAGAAATTTCTACTTCCGTAATTATGTGACTCCTTACTGGGCTCGTATTCCCGTTTAACACCCTGGCCTTCATTCTCAACTCATGGACTGACCTACCCAAGTTCACATTCATCGGATACAAGGTTGAGATGATCGGTAACCCCGAATCGGCCGCCATGATGGGCTTCTTCAAGATTTAGCCGTCCGACCGGGGCATCCATATCACTTGCGAGTAGCTCTAACTTTGGTTCCTCCTGCAACTTTCGGGGAGGAATATGACCAACTGTTGAGAAATCCTGGATTCGCTGTTATTTTCTATACCGTTGCGATTATGTTGTGTCCGATCTCATGCAAAGTATTGACATAAGCTAACCACAGGGCGGTACTGTCCGAATCTGTTCCGCTCAGCTCACCGCCAAAAAATTAACCGCCGCCACCCAAAAAATATTAGAAAAACGAGGATATGAAATTTGTACTTTTAATTTTTATTGTCCACTAAAGATCGGTGTGTGCCGCATTGGCGTTTATTCTACCTCTTGTAGACGTGTGTGACCTCCAGTCGTAGGATCCACAAAGTTTTCGGTATGATTAACCGTTTCATGAGTATAATTCATGTCAATCATCGTTTCAATTCTTTGGTATGATGCCCACATTTCGGAGATGATGATTGAGCTGGGAGCAATGCGGGCTTGGATTGTACACATCAAAGTGACCGTAGCTCGAACTGGCACTGCATACATGAACACCTCTTTAGTCTCCCGGTACGCCCATCCGAGAATCCACTGCTGGAGAAGGACTCGCCCTGTGTGATGTTTACGGCTAGATATTAGCGTTCCATCGATCTCGACGTATTGACCTGGGTCGCCGATAACGATTGGAGTCTGTAAAATCCGCCATGCACAAACTTCGCGAAGAAAGTTCTACCAGTCAACAGTGGTCGTGTGGCTAACAGACAGTTCCTCTGATCAGAATTTGATTTTTGCCAAATTTTCGGACCGGCAACGAATGAATAGAATTACTGTCCTAAACTCTATCCTAGACCGCTCTTAGACCGTTCCCTTTCGAAGACCGATTTCTATCCGACTCTGTCAGACATTACACCTGTACCTGTCAGAAACAGTTGAAAGTGTCATTTGATGGCTATTGTTGCATAAACATTGTTGATGGATCACTCCGTGGCTTTGCAAAAACGTATTTCCGTCTACTTGTCATGAACGACAATTGAGAGCATCAGGAAGTTATCTAAGGTTTTACGTCCGAACGGAGAAATTTCTGCACAAAAGTGGCGGGGCTTAACATCTCGCACATGCACTTTTTGCGTTAGTAGCGGGGCTCATCTGGAAAAGATCCATTGTTTTCTTGCGATATGACCAAGGGTGTCTCGCATCGGTCGATCGTTTGTGGTTGGCACACACTGGGCGAAAGCAAAGAGAAATTATGCCAGGATTAGCGGCCATCAAATGACTTGGAATTTTCTCTGGGAGCATAAGTATTTGTTACATACGCTAGGCTATAGGAGAGTTTCAGAGTACTTACTAAATTGTAGAAACATGGCTTCATTTCTGAAAGATGTTGGATTACCAGGAATTTGTCTGAGGTGAACATTCACGGGCAATAACAAGGCATTCTTCATTCGATGAAATTTCTCAGGAACCGCTAATCAAAACACGTGTTCGATCATTATGAAAGCCAGTATATCTGTTCAGGTAGCGGTTGCCGATCAACGTCTTCGGCTTTGCTAAGCTTCGCCTATACTAATGACCGGGAAACTGTTTTGCATTTAGCGGTGTACATCCAGACACGATAAGCAATTTCGTCAAGAAGCAGATCATGCTGCGTGTAACGGTGAACGTTTGTTGATTCCTTCACACCTACCGACGCTTCATGACTCACATTCCACATTTCAGACAGTGTTTGGACTATCAACTTCAGCTGCATTTTCCTTGACGTTTACGTCGGATCTACTCAAAGACCTGTGGCACTAACTTGAATGTACGTTCGTTTTGAATCATTGCTGTGTTAATCATTGGCTCTTCTATTCAATCAATAACCGTTGTTTATTTGTTGTTATTACAGTCTTCTTTACTTAACAAAGGACTTTGGGTGCGTATACCCAGATAGTATCTCAGCCGTATATCTTGCACCTATCATCTAGGTTCAAAGTGAAACTTAAACTGCGCGTTCGGTTCAGCGGTTCAATCTTTGTCACCATGCCTTCAAACTTTGAAAGTGGTGTTCTGAATCCTCGACCGGGGATGGTGCTACCAATACCAAACCAAAAAACCAACTACTGGGGAATGGACCAATATGGAGCCGGACTGAATCTGCCTGCATGGTCAAGTTTGAAGGCTTGGCAGGGTACACATGCAAACATGCCCGCGACCGTGAAGGGTTTCAATTAGGTAGAGTTATCTGGTATGAGGCGCCCACAAACGAACTTGAACAACAGCCAAGTTGCTCCGAGCGACTGGATTAGGGGATCCCAAGACTTAAAAAACGCTGGATCGTCATCGACCGGCAGTTCATCATTAAGCGATTGCTGCTGAATTTGGTCGATTACTGTACAGCAATGTACGCTGTTCAACACGTTTTTCAAGCTAAACTTGATTGTGCCGAGCAGCCGGGAAAATACGACATCGCCTCTCGAAACTGGAGTAGAAACCACAGTGATGCAATTCGTTGTTGCTTTAGCAGAGGTCCGTAACTTCATCCGTTCTTTGTACAGAATACGTGTTCCGTCCCAGGGTTCGGGCGAACAATTCAAAGTTGACCTGTTCCAGGGTATCGAGCACAAGTTCTCAGCTTAAGCCACCAATGGGCTAGGATGTGGATTCTAGTTAAACGTTGATTCTATTCCCATATTTATATTGTGCACGGCATCAGCTGAAACGGCACAGATATTGAATATAGTAAACCTACAACGAAGACAACCTGCAGTGCTCCGTTTCTAACAACCTAACTCATTCACCGAAGAGTTCACGACCTGCAGTACTTGAATTTTCAACTCAAAGTTAAACTTTAGTGACCGGATTCGCAAAAGGTGACACCACTAAGTTATCAAAATAGAATTCTAAACGAGACGTTCACCCGGCTCGCGTACTATTAACCAAGCGTGCTTGCAGCACGCCACCTCGATGATGGGCCAACTCCTAAACGCTTGCGATGCCCAACGTACGCAAATTAGAACTGGGGAAGCCTACATAGGGCCAAGCGTGAAGTAAATAGACGACAAAGCAATAAACGTAGCGACCATAACTTTTAATTCGGCGTTAAAGGCAAAAGATTAATAATCAATGTCATCGTTTTCATCAATACCAACAGTGTCAGATCCAACTTCCTCATAGTCCTTCTCCAAGGCCGCCATATCTTCACGTGCCTCCGAAAATTCACCTTCTTCCATCCCCTCACCAACATACCAATGAACGAACGCCCGTTTCGCATACATAAGATCGAATTTATGATCCAAACGAGCCCAAGCCTCCGCAATCGCCGTCGTGTTGCTTAACATGCACAACGCTCGTGGCACCTTCGCTAGGTCACCACCGGGAACAACGGTCGGTGGCTGATAGTTCAAACCAACCTTGAAGCCCGTAGGACACCAGTCCACGAATTGCACCGTCTTCTGCGTCTTGATCCTCGTGATCGCCGCGTTCACGTCTTTCGGAACCACATCGCCGCGATACAAAAGACAACAGGCCATGTACTTCCCACGACGCGGATCACATTTCACCATCTGGTTGGCCGGTTCGAAACATGAATTGGTAATCTCGTTGACGTTCAACTGTTCATGAAAAGCTTTCTCGGCAGAGATCACCGGAGCGTATGACGACAGTGGGAAGTGGATACGAGGATACGGAACCAGATTGGTCTGAAATTCGTTCAAATCCACGTTCAGGGCACCTTGGAAACGTAACGAAGCCGTCACTGAGCTCACCACCTGCCCAATCAAGCGGTTCAAGTTTGTGTATGTCGGACGATCGATGGACAGGTTACGACGGCAGATGTCGTAGATAGCTTCGTTGTCAACCATGAAAGCGCAATCCGTGTGCTCTAAAGTCGTGTGTGTTGTCAGGATTGAGTTGTAGGGCTCCACAACAGCCGTCGCAATGTGTGGAGCTGGATAGACGGCGAACTCTAGCTTCGCCTTCTTCCCATAGTCAACGGAAAGTCGCTCCATCAGCAAAGAAGTGAAACCCGATCCGGTCCCACCGCCGAATGAGTGAAATACGAGGAAGCCCTGAAGACCTTGACATTGATCTGACAATTTCCGAATACGATCCATCACCTGGTCGATCACTTCCTTCCCAACAGTGTAATGCCCGCGAGCATAGTTGTTTGCGGCATCTTCCTTGCCGCTAATTATTTGTTCGGGGTGGAACAACTGTCGGTAGGCTCCATTTCGCAAACCATCGACCACTGTTGGCTCTAGATCAACAAACACCGCCCGGGGCACATGATGTCCGGACCCAGTATCATTGAAAAACGTAGTGAACGAGTTGTCCTCAATTGGCCCAGTAGCAATGTCGGATGTACGCCCGTCTGGTTGGATCCCATGTTCTAAACAATAGAGTTCCCAGCAGGCACTGCCCATCTGGGTTCCGGCCTGACCGACATGAAGGCTGATGCATTCGCGCTACAAGATAGACAGAGATTACCAAGGGAAAATTAGGACCCACCATCGTTGGAGAGCGTCAGCACGGTGCGACGAGAGATGGAAAAATGACGCACCCTGGATTGCGAGAGGGATGTCTTTACTGGCCCGCTGGTATTCAATGATTGGTCGACAGTGAAAATTATTCTATTGATTTGGTTGGTTCACACATGCACCAATGGGTTGGTATGACTGTTGATCATGAGTGAAGTGGTACCTGCAAAGCCGTTCATCCAAAACACCGTGGACACCCGCGTGGCGCAAGGCACTAATGCTCCAAGCATCTCTCCAGGCGATGGTCGCATCCGCGTTCCATACCAAATTAGGTCAGACATCATAAACGTGCCGATCCATATTCATATGCCACAAACTGTTCGGGCTAAATGAAAAAAACTAACCAACAGCGAAGCATTTTACGGTTTCGATCAGAGGAAAGTGGGAGGGCGTGGAAAATGCGGCCAAGTCTTGGGGGGCGACGGCATATCCACTTAGTTCAGGAAATGGGTAGCTACGCAAAGGCGACTGTTTACTGGGATCCAGTCCAGTAAGGCGCTTTCAGCCTTGTGACTGAGTGCAAATCACACCGCCAATATCTCGGGCTATTGCGTCAGGATCGCTGGATACCCGGTGGGTAAAATTCGGAACCTCTGAGCTCGTCCTAAGCGCCTTGCGGTGCACGACCGAAGTAGGGTCTTGGATGCGTATTTCGGAGACAAAACGTACATCGATATATGAAGGAATGCAAGGTTTTTTTCAAGGAATACCTGTGGCCCAATTTAACACAGAGTAGAGAAATTACAGTCTGCAACGTTGATCAGATCTTCTGAGGTTAGCAGGTGATGATTTTGGTTTATTTTCCTGAGCGGAGGTTTAGACAAAGAATGGTGGCCAGGGCATTGACAGATGGGTTGATCGCACTGCATTGTTTGATGGATGGGTGGTGAATGGGAGAGAAAGTTCGTGAGCGTAGAGGTGAAGGAGCAAATGATACCCCAGGCCGAAGAGGTGGATTTAGTTGAGGTACCCCAGCTTGAGCCTTTGCCTCAAAAGCCTAACCCACAAGTCAGTAGGAGGATATAGGGTTTTGTTCGAGGACCCCGACCTCTAGTCTCTGACTCGAGGGCGTGAAACGGGAGACAGCGTTTATTAAGGCTTTCTTGATGGACCCTTCCCGGAGCCAATGATTCACTAGTCTGACCCGCTTGTTTCTAGGGGGCCGGCCTGACTCGAGGGCGCAGGGAGTACGGCATTACTGTCTCACATGTGATTCGACTGCGTACAGCAGGTACCTTTCGAACAACACCAGACTCTTTGGTTTTAAAGCACTTCGACCGTATTGAATAATGCGCAGGCGGCCACCGCCAATCTTTGGGCGATCGGAGTGTGCGGATTTTAGGGTCAACATTTTCTAACCAGTCTTCGTGGGAAGCCAGCATTGCGGCTTCCATCAATATGGACATGCTCGTCACCTGGCGGGAACGCCTTACTGCCCTCACACTCATAGCGTAGAGTACAGTAGGACTTTAGCTACATACCACCCGGTAATATGATCACTCGCAGTACGGGGACTGGTTGTTCCTCGTCGGACTGGTCCCCATTGGCCTTCCTGGCATGGCCGAATCTTTAGTAACTGAGTTCCAGCCAGTATAGCCCATATGACTATTGGAGTACAGAAGCCCAAGACAAGGTTTAGTTTCTGATGCCCACTGAGATACGTTCGGGCCGAATACAGCCGCAATTGTACAAACCGTATTGATAGCACCCAATTATATTAATGAAAACAAGAATTCGGCACAGTTACGATAGTAATTTCTGGAAGCCTCCGCTAGTGTTTGTTGCTCGTCTCAGAGTTCGATTTGTTCAATCGGTTCGTTAGCTTGTTAACCAAAGAGGATTCAGAACCAACGAGGTAACGCATGGTAAACTCAAGGATATGAGACAATAAATTTGAGGAGAATAATAATACGTCGGAATAATATATCTCACGTCTCTTGTGCCCAGAACCGGTTGGCCAAGTTTTTATTCATAGATCGATGCACACTGAACGTACGAGTTTGTCCTTATCGGTTTCGCGAGCAAGAATGAAATATGTGTCACGGGAGGTCGAAATTCCCCTTAGTTCCTTCATTGGTGAAACGTTTAGTATTCGAGGTGCAAACAGGTAACAAACTGTATAGGGAAGAAGATCGCAAATCAATACAGTATCAGATGATCAGAGCCACAGGAACCACATGGATGGCTTCAATAACTTATGTCCACTTAATACCGGCCGACGAATCCCGATGAGGGGGACCGCACCGACATACAGTATTATTGCGTTTCGGTTGTGTATCAGTATGCAAAAGTACATATTTTTCAGTCAGCAGTATACTGTTTGCTTGGGCTCTCTCAGCATGCTTCGAATACGGTCAGCCATCTTCAACGTTCAAAACAGACGAGACCCAACTTTTCTAACCGAAAGTCGAGGAATGGGTTATTGATCACGTGGCTGTTGATCTGTTCGCCAGGTTTGGTAACTGACTCACAAACATTTCGTCAGCATTCGAGGAGACATCTTCAGTGTGCTACTGGGTCAGTCGCCCAAGTCAAGTGCCAAGCACGGCGAACAGATCAACAGCCACCTGATCAATTGCCGCTGAGTACACCTGATCTACCAGTATTGCACCAACTAAGCCGACGAATTGTAAATTGGCTCCACTGGTAAATTTAAAGCAATTTATTCAAATATGCTAAATTGAAGGAATCCAACGTCTTCAATCTATGCGCAAGATATTGTAGTACAGGACATCAGGGGAAAATGACGATGTATTCGTAATGCACTACTCATAAGATTGCTGAAAATTCTTCGACAGTCCAAGACCGGTTTCGCCCTACTTGGAACTCATCAGGTAGGCGCAGTCCCCGGGTTCCCGTCAACCTTATGTACAGCATGGAACCAAGTTGCACGAAATTTGCGAAATAAACTTATTTGCAAACAAATTTGGTTTTGCGAGAGACTCGCTTGAAACCCAGCTGGCAAAAAATTTTCAGCAACCTTATGAGTATTGCACTACGATGCACTACATGCATCGCGATATCTTGGATATCTTAAAGACTGAAACGTTAGACAGCCTTGTGCAGCATATTCAATTGCCTGGAAACATCACAAACGAGATTCAGCTGGATTTCATAAGTCTCGCAAAACCAAAGTTGTTTGCAAATGAGGGTTTTTCGATAAATGACGGTAATTCGCCCAACAGTAGCCATTCGCACCCAATTCTGTAGCCAGCATTGGCAATTTTAGGCCGTCAACGTTACCAGATTCAGTGCGAATCTGAGTTATTGAGATGGACCGTTACACGTCGTGTGCACTTGTCGGAATCAAAAACTTGCCTACCGTGAACCATATAGTGCATGGATTTGGTGAATTTAGTTTATATAAGAGAGCATGCGGTCTTTCTAGTAAAAGAACCTGGTCGAAGGAGTTATTTACATCAGCTACAATCCATGTAGCATGCTTTGTCACTCCAATGACAGTTACACTTTACGATCTGACAACACCCTAAATGTGACCGCAAGCTGCCTCAATCAGGACAACTAAAAAATTGTGGAGTCTTGCTTTCAGACAAAAAATGTAAAATATAGGCACCACTGAACGCGTATTCCCGTCCATACTCCGCAATTCAAGGCTGGGTAAACTTTTCCACAAATCAAACAACAGACTGGGAATCAGGTTTTTTCCGGTTTATGAAGACCATGTCAGTCGAGCCACGACCCAGCACCAGTCACCAGTTTCCGCAACTGGAAAGACTGGACGAAATGCCCTAACCTAATATAATTGGTGAAACGCAGCGTGAAGGGTGTGTGTTAGCTAATATAACCTGTTGTGGCGGATGTGTGAAAGTTCATGAGCTAGCTCAACGCAGGTCTGAAAGTCTGTCTATCTTGAAGCGACGCCCATTGGTTTCTCTTTCTTCTCATTCTTGTTTCCGCATTTATCCGTCGTCTTCTTCGTCATCATCTTTATTCCTGACAAGTGGATTGCTGGACTCTATCTACCTAGTCTGGGCTCATTAGTCACGAATATTTGTCTGGGTAGTACCGACTTCACACAGAATAATCGTGTTGGCGATGACGGTGAAATCTGCAAGATTGGTATTTTCGAATTCGTCAATGGTTATCCGGAGAGGTTTATAACCAAGAATATGTCCGACCGCCCTATCCAACCGCCTATCACGGCCGTTGGAAAGAAGGAAATATACTTGAGTCTACCGTATGAAGGCGATCTGTTGGCGGACATAGTCAATCGCCGCTTGTTTCAATCCTTACAACGCACGTTTCCGGCTGGAACTCTGCGGTCTTGGTTCACAACAAACTCTTTGCTCAACTTAAACCTCAAAGAAAAGATGCCAGTCCTCACCCAGAATATGGTTGTATATTCTTTTTCCTGCTGTTGTTCGGCAGAGTATGTTGGGCGCACGACACGGCAACTTTCTAAGAGAATACGTGAGCACCTTTCTTGCCGGAATACCGCTAACCTCAACAGTTCAGTCAGGAGCTCAATCGCATCCCACCTAATTGACACCGGGTAGTCATGCCAAATGAGTCATTTCAAATCATTTACTGCGTGCCAAATCGACTACCAGTATCTACTCAACGACGTAGCTTGACAACGGCCGAGGCAGTCGCTATACCCCTGTGAAACCCGGTACTGTGCTGTCAAAAACGTTTCGTACGAACGCTGAGTCTGCCTCGGTCATGTGACACGAATCAACCGGCCAAGTCACTCAACAGCCCTCTTCACTGTCTAACAGCATCCAACTGGATGCGAAAGTGGGGGTGGGGGGAGGCGCAGACAACCAATCGTTCGTGTCTCCATGTTTTTGCATTTCACTAACCAATATTCGTAGCGTGTTTCATTTTTCGCTCTTATTTTAACCATTAGATGTGTATTGACCTGA